CACAAAGGGGACACCAGCCCCACCGCAGCAACGCCCGCGAGCTGTTTCATATTTATGCACTTGCAGCAGGGCACACAACAATGAGCTGTGCCATAGACCATTCTCCTTGCGTGGAATAAGCAGCCCTTTCCTCTGGGACCTTTCAGGAGAGATCATTTAAACAGCAACACGCCGCACCAGCTGGATAAAAGACAGCCACCTCGAAGCAGCCTGGACGAAGGGGTGAGAGGACTGATTTATTCCAAGCTGAGCTGGAACACTCCCTCACCCCTTCTCCTTCCATAATAAATGTTATTTCCAGCCCCACCTGAGCCTACATTCATTTACTCCTCCCCAGAAGTCACGTACACACAGACTGAAGAATTTAGACAGTAGGAAAAATATCCAATACCCCTGTGCATGCCTGGAGCTTCCCTGCTCTAAACAGAAACGAAAATTAAGACCCCCCCCTTCTCCACAGGCAACCTGAAGACATAATACTTTTGGCTGCTTTCTCAGCATTGAATTTTTTCCCCCACCTTCATGTCTCTACATTGGGTACACCAATATTACTAGAACAAATCAATTATAAAGGATGAAAAATGACCAGAGCCACACCAAAACCATCTCCCACAAGTAAGATATTGAAAAGGAACAAGATTACTTCCATCGCGAGCGGTCTGGGGAGAAGCCATCTTGCAGCTCAGCGCTTCAAAAACCAGTCTTGATCACCAGCTCAGGACTCTGTACGTTACCGTGATGGAAATAATAAGAGGTAAATTATAGCACAACTGCTTATCTCTTACAGTTGACTTACTTAGTGTTTCTAAGACATTTTCTTTCTGATACTAGTTATTTCCAGCCCCACCTGAGCCTACATTCATTTACTCCTCCCCAGAAGTCACGTACACACAGACTGAAGAATTTAGACAGTAGGAAAAATATCCAATACCCCTGTGCATGCCTGGAGCTTCCCTGCTCTAAACAGAAACGAAAATTAAGACCCCCCCCTTCTCCACAGGCAACCTGAAGACATAATACTTTTGGCTGCTTTCTCAGCATTGAATTTTTTCCCCCACCTTCATGTCTCTACATTGGGTACACCAATATTACTAGAACAAATCAATTATAAAGGATGAAAAATGACCAGAGCCACACCAAAACCATCTCCCACAAGTAAGATATTGAAAAGGAACAAGATTACTTCCATCGCGAGCGGTCTGGGGAGAAGCCATCTTGCAGCTCAGCGCTTCAAAAACCAGTCTTGATCACCAGCTCAGGACTCTGTACGTTACCGTGATGGAAATAATAAGAGGTAAATTATAGCACAACTGCTTATCTCTTACAGTTGACTTACATAGTGTTCCTAAGACCTTTTCTTTCTGATACTCTGCCACGGGTCTAACAGGTTTCCAGCTCCCTAGGCTGGGGATTCGCTTTGCCAACAGCAGGTCCTCTACAAAATGACATACAAGGAAGGAAAAAAACCTCAGCCTGGTCAGGCACTGTATCTGCTGGCACGTCAAACCATCACTAGAACACAGCAATTTTACACTCGTGTTGGTGCTGAAGCTGGGCCCCATCAGAGAGCAGAGGCATTTGGTATTTGCAGGAGCAGAGTTGTACTACACGTGCTGCCATTTGGCTGCAAAAGCAACCACGCATTTTGGCCCAGGAGTGAGGTTCAGGTGAGAGCTGAGACGATACAGCATTTCCTTCCCATATCACCAACTCAAATCCACCCCATCCCAGTAACAATATACTTTTATCATTGCTGCAGTCTCAATGAAATCCTTTTGGCAGCTTACTCCATTTCATTCAAAGCAAGTAAATATCCACCCCAAAAAATCCACTCTAATTACAGTTAACTGTCCTCGCCATTGGCAGCATCAGCAGAGAAGCAAAAATGAACTGGCCAAGGAAGCTGAAATATTCTCAAACTGCAAAGGAGGGACTGAAGCACATGATAGGAAATCCCTGTCTCATTTGTATACAGAGACAGCTTCTGTTGCCTGTGCTAACAGTACATCAAACCTCTCCAAATTCTCGGGAAAAATAATCTAAAGTTAATTAAAAAAAGAAAAACCGACAAACATTTGAGAAAACTGCTTAGTTCAAGTGCACAGATGGGAGCTCAAATCCACAATACATACATAAAACAAATCACCCAGCGAAACACACAGCTCAGGAAAACGAAGTGTGTGCTCGCAGTGACACAAAGTCATTGGCTTGTCACGCAAGCGGACAGGATGCAGAAACTGCAGCGAGCGTGCATACAAAAACCCAACAGCCTCGGCTCATTTTCAGCCCAGCTGCATCATAAACACTCCTGGTTGTGGCAGACAGAGCTGCACAGTCTGCTCGGTCCTCTGGCATATCCTCCAAGGCCTGATCTTCTGCATTACTCCAACTGCTCCTCGATGAAGAATCTGCTGAGCTTCCTCTGCAAGAGAAATGCATCTCAGACTCCATTTTAGCACTGCCTGGAACAAGAGCCCAGGTTCATTTGCACCCTCAAAACCAGGGCTAAAATTCATAGATCTTTCCTAGCTCAATAAAACCTCCCAGGCCTGACAGATTCAGCAGTGATAACTCAGCAAAGAGGACACTTGCTGTGCGCAGAGGGAAACCAGGTGCCTCCAGTAAAGTAACACCAAGCTGGGTGTTGGACTCGAAGGATCTCACACCGAATGGATAAATGTGCAGAAAAGCAGAAGGATTTTGCACAACCTTATTACCAGTTGACACGGACACGCAGCTCTTGGCTGCCAGGGAGCACACAGGTCACCAGCAGATTCACACACACGTGCAGTGACCGGAGACCTCCGTGTCCCCTGCCTTAAAATCGACACACAAACCTGCACAAAGCAGACAGTGCAGCAAAGGGCACCCAGAGGGTGTAATTACACCTGTATTTTTGCCTTGGCTGCAAAACTGGGAGCTTATTTCAGGAAAATAGGGGAACCCTATAAAGGCCAAACCATGGAAAATTCC